CCCGTCGTGTCCAGTCCATCTTTCTAAAAGCGGAACCTGCAAAGACTGGTACCGCCACCATAGGCAGATCTGCAGTCAGAAAACGAAAGCCATCTCAGTTGTCACGAGACGTGGATGCGATCCTTATCGCTTCCTCTGTTTCTCCCCGTCGTACCGAAGATTCGGAGGCAGATGATATCCCTGGCCCTCTGCTTGAACGTACCCTACACCGGCGTGGTCTCTCGGATTCCTCCATCCACTCGACGTTCATGAACCAAGGTGGGGGCGGTGATGCTTGTCCTGCTGAACCAGCTGGGCCTTGGTTGGAGCGTAGATCGGTGTTACGAACGCTAAGTCGAACAGTGCAAAACTTCAAACAGGTCGCGTCGCACACGATCGGAGTTGCTCATGGTTCTACTTCTGTGCTATCACAAGTTTCAACCCCTGAATCCGCTCCCGCACCATCTGATTGCTATCCTCCTGCCTGTAGTGATAGGATAAACATCCCGTGTTCCCAGCCACCTCGGGTCTCTCCTCCAACACTTACCTCTCTAATACCAAGTTTGACGTCTTGGGCAGCAGCTGGAATCGCTTTCGATTCCACACATCCTCGCAGCCTCCACGGTGCCCTTCGGGAGGACGCTGGCATACCTCGACTATTTGGCCGGGAGGGTCAAGGGAGGGATATCTAGTTGAGGGTATTGAACATCACATTATTCTAACTGCATCTTTCCATGGACATAGATTATATATTGAGGGTCGACTTGACTTTTGATTATTATTCCCTCGTTTACGTCTGGTCATGTGTACCATTATTGATTTAGATACTCAACGAATGTTGGATGGACTTGTGGAAGCTCGAGCCTCAGCAGCGGTGACAGCAAAAGTAGAGTCGTTCATACCAGGTCCCTCAAGCTATCATATATCGCCGGACACGAGCCCGCCTTTTGCAGCCTCCATAATTAAAAGGGTCGCAGCGCGCCGGCCAAGATCTTACATAGGTTACGTTCCATCAGGTTCTGTACAGCCTCGGACTCTTTGTCACTTCTCCTTTTGTCTGACCTCCCCAGCGATTACTAAAGCTCCGCAGTGCGAACGTCAGTGCCGACTCGGAGGTAACTTGAAGTAGACGTTTGCCGCATCTTGAATGGCCGCATACCAAGTTTTCCAGAGGTACATTGACAACTGAAAGTTGAACCCGCTGAGGTCAATTAGGATCTAACCTACTACAGCTTACTACTAACTGTACTAACTAGTGGGTGGTAAGTAGCCGACGGGAAAGCAACTCGACCTTACGTGTTCCGGTGCTGAACCTAGTATGTAGGCCCATCGAGAAGTCATAAGCGCCGGGCCAAAGCGTCATTTTGGGAGTCGCTTGTGGGCATTTTGGCCAATGAGAGAGCTGGAGAGACTCACAAAAGTATGAGTACGTTGTTTTTGAGGTCTCCAATCTGATGTAGCGCCCGCTCGCGCGGCTTTGGGAGTTGCCCGATCCATGAAACCAGTGCTTATATCCACTGCTACTAACTATACATGACGAACGAACTAATTGAACTGTCCCAAGTAGCGATGCTTATTTGAGTTATTGTTGATCTCGGCTAAGCATGAGGATGCCTTCTCTTCTGAGTCAGGCATCATAGCCTGGAGGAAGATCTGCATAGGATGCAGGTCCACTCGCTGAAGACGTACTAGGAGATGTATACTCGGCTGTGAGGGACATTCATGAGCAGAGAGAAGTCAGCAGAAACGTGAATATCACAAACGTAAATGTTCTTCGTCCTCCACCAACTGTCTCTTCATAAATATTGCCCTCTCTCGCGTCTTATCCAGAATACTGACAAACCTAAACATCCCCGTATCGACGAACCTGATCTCGAGCGTACTCCCATCCGTCAAACCGCCTTCAGGGGTGGGTTTCACACCGATCACGAGGTAATTCGCCCCGAATATGGGTTGCTCGAACTTGGAGGAGACAATCGAAGGAAGGGGTATTGTCAACGACTTGAAGGACGACGTGGCGTCGGGGTTAGTCCAGATGAGCTGCTCCCCAGTAAGGGTCATCGTTAAGGTGACTAGTGCATGTGCTAGAGCATACCCGTTGATCTGTGAGGGCCATTGTACCGACTCCCTCGACTTTCTTCACCCTGGAGGATGATAGTGCGTCTGGGATGGTGAGGTTGCATTTGACGTTACCAACAGTCTCAACAAAACCTTCCCCCTGCAGGAGCAAGGGTCTGGCATCAACGATTGTTGCCCAGTTAAGTGCCATGAAGTCGAAGGTTGACGTTATAGTACAACAGCTCGAGTGCATGTATACGAAGGTGTCGTTCTCCAGGCATGGGGGTATAGATTCTCAACCGCATTACAAAGATGTCCAAGGCTACCTAGCGCAATGGTAGCGCGTTTGGCTTCGATCGCCCAACGGTACCAAAAGGTTGCAGGTTCGAGTCCTGCGGTGGTCATCTTTTTGCTTCCTTCGCGCGACAGCCCATACAACGAAGCGGAAGGTAACACAATACAAGCCCTATGCTGTCGCTCGTGTTAGTCTTCCAAACCAAAATCTCCTTTATGAAACTCGCAAGGTGCGCTTCCAATAGCTATTCCCTCGCCAGCTACTAGCCTCCTGACCTTCTCTTGTCCATCACTTTTGAGTAGTACACAATGCTCCTCCGTGACCGCGTCTTTGAAATGGTATTTCTGACATAACCCTTCACCAGAAGGGTGTGGGAAGAGTTCATCGTCCTCGGGCTCCGTGGGATCTGCGAGGAATGGGTGATATAGCGCACCGCGAGGCGTGATTCGGCGGTGGGATTCTGGTTCCATTAACTGTTTGAGGAGTGTAAATGCATTTTCTACGTCCGTTCTGTGCGATTCCTCCGTAGGATACGGTGGGATCATACGTGTCGGTGTGGAAGAACGCGATGACGAGTGGCCCCCATCATACTTGGGGGAAAACGACGAGTGTGCCGACGACGACGGTGGAGGGGGACAACCAGGCGTAGATTGTGCTTCGTGCATGTTGTACGGATAGTAACGAGGATCGGGCCGCGATACCTGCATCAATTCGGGGTTTTGCTTCTCAACAAATTCTCGCCAACTGATACCCTCGAGGGTCAAGGATGGCACATTTGTCGCGAACGTGCGACCTGAAAGATAGCATTACGAAAAATCAGTCGAAATAAAAACACACGAACTGTGTAGGATAGCAGCCTTCTCCATCTTCTGGCGACCAATTATGGTTGCGATTTCCATTAACGCCTCGATGTCGTCGCTCGATTGAAATAGAGGAAATTTTCTCGTCAGAAAGAAAAGCAGGATTATCCCAGCCGCCCAAACATCGATTGCTTTCGTAGGGAGTCAGATCGCAAGTACATCTTCCAACGTAAATGAGTTCACCTCCTGTTTGTGATCCGCATTTTAATAGAACTTCTGGAGCCCGAAATCCCCGCGTACCCGCTCGATTAGCCTTTGAATGCGGCCTAAAGATCGTTGAGACAGGCTAAACAAGTATGTGACACGTTGAAAACAAACCGAGTGTCTTTCTCGGGGTATCCAACCCTATCGCTTGTCCATGAACTTTTATGTCGAGCCTCCTTTTGCATCTTTTTAAGATGTTCTACATCGTACTCCTCCCGAGATCTGATCTTGCCATGTGGAAAATCTCGTGATGGCGGGGTATGAAGGCATGCTCCATGCATTGGCGTCGACGAGTCCATTCGCTGACACGTAAGGATGAGGATGGTTTGGCAAGAGGGATTGTTAGAGACATACACTAGCTAGTCCAAAGTCACATAAGGTACCAATGCCGGTCCGAGGGTCAAAGAGAAAGTTGGCGGGTTTGACATCACGATGGATGATGCCTCGAGCATGAACATCACGCAGGGCCCGAAACATACACCGGAAGTATGCTTTGATGCCTGCCATCGAGAGGCCCATGTAAAAGTCCTAAGGGGAGTTGCAAACGATTCGGTGAAGGAGTGGTCTGAAAACTTACGCGAAAATCCTCATTGCGGTTATAAGGCATGATCGCAACCACTTGGTCTCGATTGCGGAAGGCGGTGATTAGCTGGCACGTGTGCCGAGTCCCTCGACAGTCTTCCATGATGGATATTTCATTTCGAATACGTTCGGGATTGCTCGTCACATAGATACGTTTGACGGCAACGAAGACTTTACTCTCGTTGTGGTATGGCACAGTTTGATAGTATGCTGATGATGAAGGGGTATGATGGCCATGCCATGCCATATTATCCCACTTGGTATGATACCACAGATCGATGGCCTTGTACACAGATGAGAAAGTCCCTGTGCCTAGTCGGTCCACTATTCTGTAGTCGTGTGATAGTTGCGGTACGGCTGCCAGCAAACTGGCGATCTCCAGTTGGATTTCTTCGCGCTCTTCTGCAGGCTTGAGGTGTATCGTCATCTCTTCATCCGTCTCCCCTGGCGCGTCTGCATCGTCACCGTCTTCGTCACCTTCATAACCCTCGAGGTCGCACATATCCTGCGGACAATCCATCGAATTTGCTTCCTCGTCATCGCTTTCGTCAAGATCAACCATGACAGGCAGTTCGTCTGCGTCTGGCCTCGACTTTGTGGTGGATAATGGCCGATTGTACAGCTGAGCGAGGTGGTTGTGATAGTCAACCATTTCTTGGTGACTACAACTGCCGCCGCCATCCTCAGAGGTGAAGTTTTGAACCCCGTTTACTTTCTGCGCAGACAAATACTCTCTGTGGTATGCCTTGTTGCGCGGATCTGAGGAGCCAACTTCCAGGGGGTTGGAAGAGTGTTGGGAGAGCAGCATGGTGGTGGTCCGAGTTGTGTGGAGACTCTGGATAGCGGGTTTGGAGAAGTGAAGTGGCTGGAGCGAACCGAGTTTTCTAGATCAAAGCCTGTGCACGTTTAATGGAAGTGACGGTGAATATGGTGCTTGCTTCAATGCTTGTTGCTCGACGCGCTTGGTTCGCGTAGTGCTGTCATCGTCACGTGCGAAAATCTCACAAAATGTAAAAAAGTAATGACCACCGCAGGACTCGAACCTGCAACCTTTTGGTGCCGTCTGGCAATCGAAGCCAAACGCGCTACCATTGCGCTAGGTAGCCATTAAAAGTCGGGATCTTTGGACGATACATAGCATCAATGTGTATGATAGCCTGTAGACGCATGCGGCATATCGAGCGAGTTCGCCGCAATTACTACGAGTTCGACTGCCAACGGTGCTCATGTCGTTGACGGCGTGAAAGCGATTTGCCTCCATGAACATCCCCGAAGAGCCAAGTGTCTGGTTCATAAACCTACTACTCCAACATCCGCTTTTCTCGCAGATTGCACCTTTCCTTACACTCTTCCTCTTTCCCCTTATTGCGCTTGTCTGTTTCCAAACCGTCAAAGGGTTTTCGTTTGGGACTACGTCATTTATCATGGTCCTCGAAACTCTCGGTTCGTTCTTTTCGTGGAGTTGGGGAGGCGGCCAATCGAATGCCGTATCACCGCATGAGACGAAAAAGCTGAAGAAGAAGCACGTCCGTACTCACGGTGAACAGCTGGAGATGAACGGATATGCCAGACCAGGTGCACCGAGTCCTCAACTTTCATAACAGTGGTATCTGACATTCCGGTAGATACCAGGCAAGAACTGGTTGAAGGCTATTATCCTGGCCTCGTCAATATCTCAGGCACATACTGCTTCATGAACTCCACAATCCAGGTCAACTCATCGCCAGCAATTCCCATGCATACTATTTCTTACTATCAATTCTAGGCAATGGCCTCTTTGTCCTACCTGCAACCTTACCTAGCAGCGGCTCACGACAAGGCCGTGCAGTTAGATGTTGCCTCACCAGTCATCGACGCCCTTCTCGCACTGCTACAGGGTCTGTGTGGTGTTTTCGGAGTGATGCATTCCCGCTGAAAGCATCTGTCAGAATTAAATACCCCTCGGAGTTCGTATCATTCAATCCGGCCGCTCGAGATCATTGAGGCTTTGGTAAACCATTCTCCTGGAAAGCACAACTCTCTCTTCTCTTCCCGCGAACACCAGGATGCCCAAGAACTGTTCCAGCTTGTCTCCGAGTGTATAAAGAAAGAAATCGCCGCAGTCAACAGGGAGCGCCAACGAGATCGCGGCCTCGGAGGACTGTCGCAGTTTGATGGGCAGACTAGCAGAGATATAGGGCAGACCGTATTCGACGGGTTGACAGCCAACAGGAGAAGTTGCGTGGAATGCGGATATACAGAAGCCGTCATGCACTTTGCCTTTGATAGCTGGCAACTGGCGGTCCCGAGATATGTCGTGAGTTACCTTGGTAAAACCCTGTGCTGCGCTTATCATGGATTAGGCAAGTTGCCGACTCGAAGATTGTCTTGCTGAATACACCAAGCTAGAGATGTTGAACGATTGCATTTGTCGCAAGTGTTCGGTAATTGCAACTCACCAACGCCTCGCACTAGAAGCAGAACGTTTGGAGAGACTCGTCAGCTCAGATCCACAAGCCACAATTTCGAAGAAGCGCAAAGCAAAGGAAGCAAGGAAACTAGAGGCAAAATTGAGAACATCATTGGATCATGGTCGGTTGGAAGAGGACGTGAAGGGAGTGAAACTGGACAAGGTGTTTAGTAGAGCCTCTACGAAGCAAGCAATGATTGCAAGGGTATGTTAATCTCTCATTCTGATCCATTCTTATTCTGACACTACCAAGCCTCCACTAGTGCTTGCACTCCACCTCAATCGTTCGCTAAGCTATGGCCAATTTGCGATGAAGAACTCAATACGCATCATCTTTCCCGAAATCCTAGACCTCACCCCATTCATGACTTCCGGCAGTCTTTCCACCGTTCCCTCAATTCCAATCTCCGTACCACCTCCCAGCCTGCCTCGATCTACCACACCCACCCAGGCCATGTACTCGACACACAGGACTATTTATCGTCTAGCTGCCGTCGTCTGTCATTATGGCCAACATTCCTTTGGGCACTATGTCTGTTTCCGACGAAAACCTCGTCCTCTATCATGTGGTGCGGCCCGCTTTGCCCCGCCGCGTTTGGTCCACCCTCTGGGTTGCGACTGTGATAAATGTCTACGGTACGGGAACATACGAGATGACGATGATCCAGTTGACTCGATGTACCGGCCCGGCCGGGGCTGGCTCCGCATCAGCGACGACTCTGTCAAAGAATGTGGTATCGAAACTGTACTACAAGAAGGTTCAGGAGCCTTCATGCTCTATTACGAACGCGTGGTACAGTCACGCCCTGGCATTTACCCACTTCACGACTCACCACGAAGCTCAGAGGAAACCCTTAAGCCAAACCACTCGACTGTCGTTGTCAACCGATCTACGGCGTCGCTAGCCTCGAGAGATGAGATGGAGAGGTCAGTGTATGGTGCTCGGATTGTGCGGAGTGTGGCCGCGGGGAGAGGGAGGAGTGCATCACTTGCACCATCGGAACGAGGTCCAAGCAAAGATTTCCTACCGCACGGGAATGGGTCTTCCGCGTCTTTGATCCTCCCAAATGGCAACGCTAGTCACTCGTCAGTTACTTTGAAACCGAGCAGGCCGCGAATACATGGAGCTGGCTCCTCGACAGAGCCACTCAATTCGTCGAATCTATCAGTGTCAGCTCCTGATCTCCGTGGCCATCTCACTTCCGCTCCCTTATCGCAATTCCCTTCGACACCCTCACTCCATCATGCACCAACCCAGTTGCGACAATCCTCTATAGTGGACCCTCCAGCATAATATCTCGTCATCATGCCTAGCATTTACATACTCTTGTTATTGCGCACTTGCTTGTGTATCTTCAACACCCTGGACCTAACCACGGTTGTTCTAATTCTTCTCCTCCCACAGTCCTGGTCAGCCAACCTTCACTCCTGCAACACAGAATTGGTTCTTTGGACATCATGAATGCGAGAACAAGGCCGGAAAAGTAGATCGGATGTTCAGTCATGATATCTTGAGTGCCCATTGAATGATTGAAATAAACACCACTACAACGACCTACAGTATCGACACATCTAACCATTTCCATCAAGCTAACGAGTAAAAAAAACTCGGTCAATGCTCTGCACTGCAGTTCACATTGTGGACAACCCAACGGAGAGACGCCAACAAGCCATCATACGAGTGAAAACGTTCCACTCCCTGACCGAGCTTCGAGAATCGTGACCATGAGCGGCGCGCTCCGGATGGAGAAGTATACAAAACAATACAAAACATTCGACAGTCCGAGTAAGGCGCGGTCAATAAGAACAACGACTGGTAAGGCAACTACCAGTAAATTCGTCGCTCAACAGTGCGCTGCTTGATAGTAGGAGGCGGCCTGGAGTAGGACACTGTGCGCCTCACGCGGGTAACCGTGGGGTACCTGGAGGGGTCATCAGTGAACCAATGAACCGCAACGAGTGGATGGTAAGAATTACCATGCCTGGTAAATTTCGTGTGGTTCAAGCTGGACTTCAAGGATTTGACGGCCCTTTATCAATGTTGAGCTGCTGGGGTCATGAAAAAAAATACTCGACGTACAACGCTGTCGGTGAAAGAGCCGACTACAAGACCTTCCTTGCGACCATAGCGGTCGTGGTTGACAGCGACGATGTCACCAGGCTAACATAGGATAGACCTTCAGGGCCACAGCGACGAAGAAAATAAGACGACGAACAGTAATGTCGCCACTGACGGACTTGTACTCCTCGATTCTCTCATAGGTAGCCATTTGGGATGACGGGTGGAGGAAAGAGGGCAGTGAGGAAATAAAAAGGTGGAAATGATGAGGGAAAAAGAGAAGAGCCAAGTCGGGTTTTTATAGATTAGATGCCCGAAATTGGTCCTAAAAGGCGTGGCAGGGCACGAGGCGCATATGGTCGTGGAAATTGACCGCCTTTGTTGTCTCCTCGCCGAGAACAACCGGCCCACGTAAATTCTCCCGTCCGTGGTTGGATTCCTCATTGTTCTACTTAGTGTACCCAGTTCGTCGTTGTTTGGCACGGAGCTCGACGGTTTGTATATATATATTCCTAGTGCCATCAAATTGATGGAAGCATTGCGGTCCTGATTACGTTCCTGCAACAAAAACCTGCCTCGTGGCACGATTGAAATGGATAAAATTCGGCTACAGACTGTCAAGGGGTCTGTAGGGAAGACGTGAGATCACAGCTTGAATACAATAAGGTGATATGCGCTGGGTGTCACAGGTGAGTGCAGAGGTATGATTACAGTGAAATAAATTGTTAATCAGCCGTTTGCTCAACGCTCGCATCCACTGCAGAATGAGATGCCAAAGGCTGAGAAATGTCCCCACCCTCGACGGACCATTATGTATCGACTATTTCGTCTCGGAGCGTAGGGGCGTCTGACTTCGTTCATCCAGCCCACGAAGGATTTCCTCCCCAGTCGCGGCAGGCCCTCGCGAGCTCGTTGTCCCGGGGATAATATACTCGACGGACCGCATAAAGGTGCCATTGCATTATATTTACGGACACGTAAGTTTAGTTCGGCAATGGCAGTGTCATGGTAAGAGCGTTCTCGCTCTTCCCATTCTCGATCACGCAGAGACGAAGCTGTGTTTGACGAAAATGACGCCAAGAGAGGAGCAGGTTGAGTTATGGTGAATGTCCGAATCGCGCGCCTGGTCCAGGACTGCCTCAGGGTTTTACGAAAGGCATTCACCGAAGCTTCCAGCTCTACAGCGTAACATTAGCTTGCAAGTAACCAATGCGAGATCATGCATAACTAACCCACTTGAACTTCGACCCATGGAGGAGCAGCACCATTGCGCTTTACGATTCGATTCACGAGGAACTCCTCCCTGGCAATGAACGGATTGCGCTCCTCGCTCAGCCGAGCAATTGGCTGCCCCCTGCCTTTCACCTGGTCGAACTGACCTGAAAGCCGTGCTTTCTGTATCGATCACGAAATGAGTCAATTTTCAAGTGTGGCGCAGTAGGATTTCGTACCTCTATGCGTTCTTCTATGAGGCTCTGCCATCCTTTCAGACTGACAGGGTTTATCCGAGAAGAAGTATGTACGTCGCCGGTGCCTCCACCTCTCAGGCCGAGTTGGTAGTCCAAGGTCGACTCACGTGCATGTGACAACCGACGAGC